AACAAGCAACAGAAAACGATACACTTGATGATCGTTTAAAATCACCAAAACAAACAAATGTTACATCTGATCAATCAGTACGTCGTACTATTCCAAAAAGTCTTGATCGTAATACTCGACGATCAGGTACATCTGTTCAAGCGACAAGTACAAATGATAAAGATAGTTCTATTTCAAAAAAACAACAACAACAACAGCCACGTACTCCACTTACAGCAGCTCAAATATCTGAAATATCACAACGTTTAAGACGTTCAAATCAATCAAAATCCATAGCTGGTGAACCATTAACACCAACAAGTAAATTAATTAGTAAAGAAGATTCACCAGTTAGTGCATCACATTCAGATTCAGTTAAAGCTAAAAATGCTGTACAAAATCGATCTAATCCATTAAAAGCATCTGATATACATATTCTTGATGAATCAGCTTCACCTTTAGTTATTATGTCAACATCAACCGGTGGTACTGAACATGGTAAACCACCTAAAACACCACGTTCAGGTCGTACAGCAACAATAACAACAACAAGTCGTAGTGATGCTATTGTACCAACACGAACAACAATGACACGTACAGGTGATAGTGAAGCTATGTCAATACCAGCAGGAACATTTGCAATTAAAGCTGGTCCACAAACAATTCTATCACAATGGGTTATGTCACTTGATGGAAATATTGATGAAATAAGTGATAATCAACATAGTGCTAAATGGGAAGATGCACAAGAAAAACTTCAAAGGTTAGAGTAGAAAAAAAAAAAAGAAATATTTAATTATATAAAAGCTTTTAACACAATCCCTATGGGATTAATATATGAAACAATAATGTAACTATTACTTACTAATCATAGGGAGATTATTTTTTTGTTCGATCTATTTTACGACATACTTCATCATCCTTCTACTTAATCCTTGAGCAATGTAATAAGGAAGTAGTTTATATATTATATTAAAACGTTATTGAAATATCATGCAGATAGAATTTGTTCCATCTATGAAGAGTGAAATTCAAATTTTTATATTTCATTTAGTGTAACTCATGAACCATCTCAATATCATCCAGCAGCATCTTCATTTTCTTCACCTCTTGTGAATAATCCATTAATTCCGTCCAATATGAACAGTCAATCGATAACAACAGTTAATAATATTCAAACTCCTATAGTCTATGGTAATGTTTCGAATAGTAATATAAATGATAGTCGACAACAACAGTCTCATCGATCATTATTAAAAAATATTGATGAAAATTCAACTAAAGGCATAATGAACAGTCATAATGAAAAAGAGAATAAACGTAAAATTATTTTATAAAAACAAAAACAAAAAAAATATTTTCTTATTTAAATTATTATTCTTTAGAAAAAGAATCAATTATTCATATTCATGAACAACCATTAATTGAAACACTTCCATTTGAAAATTATCGAACAATTGATAATACAGGAAATATTTCATTACTTCGAAATAATAATTATGTTAATATTAAACGATTATCAGATAATGATGATGATGATGAAAATGGACATGATGGTGATGTTGATGAAGATGATGATGATCATGAAAAATCAAAAAGAAAAATTCATGAACAAAAATATTTACAACAGAGTAGGCAAACAAATTTAAACAATAATGATTCTTTTTCTAGAAATATAAATTCAACAAAATCTACAAATATTTCAATGAAATCTAATCCGAATAATTCAATAATAATGATGATGATGATGATGAAAGAAAATGAAGAAAAAAAAGAAATTTTAGATGAAAAACAAATATCAAATAATGAATTTGATACGAATATTGTTTCATCAATTATTCAAACAAAACCATTAAATTCATCAATTATATCTATTGATGAACATCAACAAAATAAAATTCGTAAATATAATTTTGTTCCAGCTCGATTTCATGGTACACGTTTAATAACTAAATCAACTGAACAAATTAATCGTTCATTAATAAATGATAATAATATTTTAAATTATTCAATTCCATCAACAAAACAAAATTCAGCAATATCAATACTTAAACAAAATTTTCTTCAACGATATACACCATTAACATATATACAAAATTCAAGTAAGATAATGTATATACAATTGATATGGTTTGCATGTAATTTATATACGACTAACTTTGCACGTAGATATATTTATTCTAATTTCTTTATTATCATCATCATCATTATTATTATTATTGTTCAAGAGAATATTTGCATGAATTAAATTTTTAGATATTTTAATAAAAAAATTTTCTTATTTTATATGATTGTTTTTTTTTTTTTTTATTTATAAAAATATAGATCATAATGAAAATGAACCTAATGATACTTTACAAGATAAAAATAATATGGAATTAAAAAATGATCAACAACATTTTTCAAACGGTGCTCGTAAATCATTATCAACATTTGAAGTACATCGTGGTGATGATTTTTGTAAAAAATTATTATTTTATGAAAATAATGCTACGTCTAATAATAATAATGATAATTCATCTCGACGATCATTATTTCAACAATCATCATCTATTCCGTCCACAAATAAATCTTCAAATGATGTTTTAAATATATCAACACAACAAATATATCCAAGATCAAATCTTTCAACAAATATAAATGAACAAATACAATATAGTAAATCTTCTAAAGATTTATTAGATCCACCTATTGCTCATCCTGTTTATTATCAACAACAACCATTATCATTATATCCGTCCACATCTTATTATATAAATAATACAATACCAACTATAGTTAGTAATATACATGATAATGGACCTATCGACTATCAACCATTATCAAGTAATAATTTTATTCCTGATGATGTATCGAGTTCATCAACAGGTCATTTACCAAAACCACCACCTGGTATACCTAGTCAAAATGCAAGGTAATTATCTAACCAGAGAATTATGTTCATGTGTTTCTTCGACTTAGAATTTATCTTTTTTTTCATCAATAGATCTCAATATTAATAGTCAAAATCTAAAAGGATTAGAACTCATGAGATGTCGGAACCGATTTAAGATTATTTCATTGAAGTTTTGATTTCAAGCAAAAAATTTCTGCGAAAAAAAAAATCGAAAATCTTTTGAAATAATCATAAGGCGGCTTTAACAATTCATAAGCTCGAATCGTTTTAGACTTTGTTAATTGATATTGAAGTTTTTCGTATAGACAAAGGAATAGTTCGAGTACTTTTCATGTAAGATCAGAATAAAATAAACATGAGATTTAATCTATTTGTTTAGACGTCGCCGTTATCAAGCCGATAATATAAACAATCGTCAAAAAGATCATAATCCTGAAGGTTCATCTGAACGTTCGCCAATGACTTGATGATATATTTAATTTTAAATCTCTTTTATTTTTGCTTTTTTCGAAATGACATTTGTTTTCTATTCAAAGCTATATTTGTATATATAAATATATCAAAAAAATAGAAATGTGGCTATACTCTAGGACTGATGTGTTTGTTTTGTCTTTTCTTTCTGTTCTGTTTATATAATCGTTTCATCTTCACAATTGAATTTGTTCTTTTTTTTTTTTTTTTTTTTTTTTTTTTTTTTTTTTTTTGTGCATTAGATAAATTCAGAAAAAGAAATAATGAATATCATAATGCGCGTGTGAGAAAAAAAAAAAAAAACTATTTCAAAAAATAATTTCCTTTTAGATGTATATATCTATAGGATTTTGTTATTTACAATTAATTGGTATAACATATATTATAAGTGTTTTAATGGGTGCACCATTATTAACTGATATATTACAAACATTAATATTTAGTATTTATATTGTTTTAATTGGTTTTACACCAATTATAATTAGTTTAAAAGGAAATTTAAAAGAAATATATAATTTTATATTTCAAAATGAATTTTATTTAATTATGTTAACATCAAAAAAATTTTTTTATATGAGAAATTTACTATGGGGAACAATTATTGGTGCATGGTTAGGTGTAATACCAATTCCATTAGATTGGGATCGATGGTGGCAAAAATGGCCAATAACATGTCTTGTTTCATCAACAATAGGAGCTAGTTTATCAATAATTATTTCATATTTATGGTTATGGTTTCGAAATAGACAAAAATATAATGAAGATATTGAATAAAAAGCAAAAAAAAAAAGATTTTTATAGTAACAAAAAACGATAGTAAATGTGTATTGAAATTTTCTTTTGTTATTAAAATAAATATTCTGTAGTTGTCATATTTGATAAATATCATTTTTCTTGATTAAGGAAATATATATATATATAGCTTATACTAATAAATAAAAATATAAATTCTTTCCTATAATTATGTTAATCATAGGTGTTCATTAGCCAATGAAAAAATTAATAATAAACTACTATGTATACATTTTTGGCATATTAAGACTTCATCAAATAATCAATGCTACAAGGTTAAAAACTAGAGAATGAATATGCTTCGATAAAAATAAAAATTGTCGTATAAATTTTTTAACATTTGTTACGACGTAATAATCATCATGATGCATTATACTTCCTATGTGAAGTATGTTATTCAATATTGAAAGTAGATATTAGCATATTCTAGCACAGAATATGATTCAACTATCTTTCCTATTAATTATACTATGTAAAAAAAAAAAGCGTCGATCATTCATTTTTTTTCATCTTATCCGTAAAATTACATTGAAACAATTACAAAAAGAAAAACTTAACGTTTACTGAGAATTTTTTTTTTTTTCATTCTGTTTAAAAGAAAACAAGAAAAAGAGTTTTATTCGTCTTCCATTACTCATATTGACATCAAGAATGAGAGCGTCTTTTTTTTGCTTTATCGGTACGTGAGTAGGTCGAACAGTTAGTTTTTTTTCTTTTATATGCCAACAAATAGTATATAGAAAAGAAAAAAAAGTTAAAGCGCATACGAAACGAAGTCATGGTTATGGCAGAAAGCAAGATATTATTTTGTTGATTAAGTATATAAATTTCTATTTTAGATATATTCTATTAATTTTAATTCATGGCTCAACTAACAGCAAGTCAAGAACGTGAATTACGTGATGCATTTAATCTGTTTGATAGTGGTATATTAAAAAAAAAAAAGAATCATATATAAATTAATCATTATTTGATTCTATTTTTAGATCATTCAGGTAGAATATCAAAATCCGAATTAAAACGTGTACTTCATGCATTAAATATTCAAGCCGATGATCATGAAGTACAACAATTATTATCTCAAATGGATACTGATCGTAGTGGTGAAATTGATTATAGAGAATTTAAAAATGTTATGGCTGCATCTTTTTTTAAAAAATATTCAAAACATGAATTACAAGCAGCATTTAAAAGATTTGATGCAGATAACAATGGTTATATAACAGGAAATGAACTTAGCCATATATTAACACGTATGGGAAGACATTTAACTCGAGAGGATATCGAAGCTATTGTTCGATCAGTAGATTCAAGTGGTGATGGAAAAATTTCATTTGGTGAATTTTGTAAAATATTTGATTGATGAATTTAATAATATCAATATGACATTATACCTACAATCTTAAAATGTGTTGTTTTCTTTGTGTTTAAATATTGTTTCTAGTATAGAAATTTTGATTAAAATTGTATTTCGAAAATGAATATAAAAATGTTTGATGTCAAAAGTTTAATTGTGTTGTGCTTTTCTTTTTTTTTTCTTATGTGATTATATATGTCAAGAAAAGAAAAAATTTGTAAACAGAAACAATTCTCGAATAATTTATAGCATACGATATCAGTATGACAATCAAATAAGATGTCTTTGTTCTGAATATTTTATTAAAAAGAAAAATCCATGATTATGTAGTAAGGAAGTAGAATAATTGTTAAAAGGTTAACGAGACACGATCATTTATGTGTGTTCCGACTTACACAGGAAGATATTCTTGAAGATCATTCTATAATTTGCTGACAAACAAACAGTTCTTCTTCCTTGAAACAATCAAGTAAATGATTTATATGAAACTAAATAAAATGATTTTAGAATAAGAAAACATTTTTCAAGATATGATTTCTAAAATCGTATTGTATTCGATAGTATCTATTTCAAGATTTTACAGTAATTCAAATCATTGATATAAGTCTTGAAATGTTTTGTTTGTTGTACGGTATGAATTTTAGTTTTATTTGACTAATAACTTTTTTTTTTCTTGTCAATTTATTCGAACAATTTTGTATATAATAAGAAAAGATCAATTTTTGTTGATATGTTTATAGAATAAAACCTGTTTTGACTATAATAAAACAACAAGAAAAATGTACAACTAGTCCAATTTATAGAAGCTTTGATGTTCTCTAAAAAAAAATGGATTCAGATTTTACTTCTTTTTCGTTTCTTTAACCGACATTCAAATTGTCTCACAAACATTTAGATACAAACAAAACAATTTCAGTATCAACAAGATGAGAAAAATTTATTTTTTATCAGCTATATAATAAAGATAAAGTAATATAATGTATGAATTTGTATTATCATGTTATTTTACATCGAATTTATCTGTTTGATTTTGAATAAGTCTTTTCCATTATCAATTCATGTGACTATATACGATAAATTCTTCTCTTTTATCAAGACGTCGCTGTTGACATAAACTTGATATTATCGCTAACAAACAAACGCAGAACGAGAAAAAAATTGTTTTTTATTTTTTGAATTCAGTAGAATAGAAACTCAAAATAAAGTTATTTATTGGAGAATCATATTGTAGCATTGACGACAGTTAGCGTGCGGCTAACAGAAGAAGAAGGAAAACGTGTTGAATGGCAGCAGCAACTTCCGTCGTCTCAACTCAAGAACATGACAACAATCTTGAAATCTATTCTCTCATTTGGTTGGATTCTGCAGTGAAAGAAGCTAAAGACTACATTGATGCTCAACAACGACTTCGTAAATTAATCAATCATTTAAAAGCATTCGATGATATTGTTCAATGTGAATCATATATACGATCTATACCTGAAGAAGATCGGATTATTTTCATTGTTAATAATCGATTAGGACAAGAAATAGTACCTCGAATTCATTCACTCCGACAGATCTTTTCAATCTATATATACTATCCAAACAATAAACGAAATAACGATTGGACAAAAAAATTCAGCAAAGTAAGAAGCGAATATTGCTTTAGTGAAAATCAGTTTATTCTCTGCAGGAATGCTTTACTTTTTTCGTATAAACTTACACTCACTTGAAGTGTACAGGAAGGAACGTAACTATGTTCTATTACAAAAATAATAACCCTATACTGTTTTTTAGTATTATATTCATTGATTAGTAAAAAATATGTTTAGATTAAAAGTGTATGTGCGCAATTGAATGCACTTGTTGATCAAATTCTATCGGATCAAACGAAAAGAAGTCGTAACAAAGTTGATGAATTTCTTACAATTAATATTTTCAATACAACTAGTCATGAAGAAAAATCAACAACAGGACTTAATGGTCAATTTGTTCATTCTCAATTATTAATCGATCGTCTTCTTGGCATGAAACCAAAAGAAACAGATAAAAATGAATTAATTAATTTATGTAAGAAATTTTACAAAGATAATCCAAGTGAACTAGCAATTATTCATGAATTTGAAAAAGATTATTTACCTGATCGTGCTCTATGGTGGTATACAAGAGAATCATTTCTCTATCGATTATTAAACAAAGCTCTTCGAATGCAAGATATAGATTTACTTTTTCTTTTTCGATTTTTTATTCGTGATATTTATAAACAACTTGAAAAACTTCAATATTCAACTCCTATTCATGTTTATCGAGGTCAAATAATATCAAATGATGAATTACAAACATTAAAATCTTCTATTGATCAATTCATTTCGATGAATTCATTTCTTTCGACAAGTCTTGATCGTCGATTAGCTTTGTCCTTTCTCAATAGTTCAACATTGTCAGACAATTTGCAACGTATTCTATTTGAAATTGATCTTGATCCAACACTTACTGGTATCAAACCATTTGCTAATATTACGTCGAACAGTTTTTTTACCGATGAACAAGAAGTATTGATCATGTTAGGATCAATATTTCGACTTGTTAAGATTGATTATCAAGATCGAGTATGGATTGTTCACATGACATTATGTAGTGATAAGGATAATAATTTAAAACCTATTTATGATTATATGAAGAATGAATATGATAAAAGTGAAGGAGAATCAAGCATATTCTCATTCGGTATTCTTCTATTTAAAATGGGACAATATGATAAAGCTCAAAAATACTATAATCATCTACTAAATGAATTACCTCGAGATCATCCAGATTTGGCTCCTTGTTATCACAATCTTGGTATGATAGCCAATAATAATGGTAACTATGATGAAGGTCTGAAATGGTTTAATAAAGCACTTGAAATCTATACTCGAACACACAAATTTGATGATCCTATTCTCGCAGTTGAACATAATAGTATCGGTGAAATTCATGTACGAAAAGGGAATAATGCAAGTGCACTCGAATCATTTAATAAAGCATTAATCATTCGAAAAAAAGTATTTGGTGAAGATCATCTAGAGACTGCAATGAGCTATCATAATATGGGTAATGCTTATCAAGCAGAGAAAAAACTTCAAGAAGCATTCGAATGCCATCAAAAAGCATTAGCTATTAGACAGAAACATCTTCCGGCTGATCATCCTGATTTAGGTGCATCTCACAATTGTATTGGTAGTGTTTATCTATGTTATAATTGTCCTGATCTTGCATTAGAATTTTATAATAAAGCATTAAAAATCTATCAGAAATCTCTACCAAGTCAACATTCTGATATTGCAATGACACACTATAATCTTGGTCTTCTTTACGCTGGTAAAAATGATTTTCAACAAGCAATAGATAATTTTCAAAAAGCTTCAACTATCTTTCGTGCAACATTACCTTCAACACATCCATTTATTGCCATAGTCGATCAAGACATTCAACGAGTTTCAAATAGACTCAAGTAATCATTTTATTCGCAAAAATCTTTCACATGCTAATATCTATCTTAAAATTTCAAAATTTGTTCGATGTCTCAAGCGATAATCAGAGTTATAGATGTTTGTGTGTTGATCCTTTTTTTTTAATCCACAGCTACATCCTTCATAACCATTGTAATATTTATTTGTAACACTTGTTTGCAACGTCTTTACTTTTCATCAAATATATCTATCAAAAGTTTTAGATTCATTTGTATATATCTTTGACAAAATTATTACATATTTTGAAAACATTCGGAGTCTTCTATCACCTTGTATATTTGTTTTAGTTTGTATCATCACTATTGATTTTAAAAAAATTTTTATTTCTTTAGAAATACTTTTCTGAGAAAAATTAGTTATAATATATTCTGATAGAGCTTCAAATTCTGTATTATTCCATTTATTAATGTCTTGTCTATCATTCGTGTGTTGAAAAATAAGTCGCATAATATGTAGACACTCTTGATGACAAGGTCTAAAAAAAACTGGATTTTCTCCTGTCATTATCCTTTTTATTTCAAGTTTATTATAAATATAAATATAACTTTGTGAATAAGTAATCAAATGTTCTGACAACACTTTATATTCTTCATTATTCTGAAGTTTTGAAACAAAAAACAAAAGATATACTTAAAAAATTCAATATTTCTGACGGTTTGTCATGGAACATGATAGCAATAATACTAAAATTATTCTACAGAACATAAACATACAGGATGATAGAAGACTCCAAGTGCTCTCAAAATATGTAACTATTTTGTTAAAAGTATGCGTTTATATTAATAATATACTCAAAATATCAACTTCACCTATTTTGTTTTTGAGGGCTTTGCATATATCTTAGTTTGAGAAAACAATAAAAAGTGTTCAATTTTCTTTAAAAAGGATGCACTGTGAGAAGGTCTATAAAACTCTGTAGAAAAAAACGACTATTGATCTATTACACTTTTATTTCTCATTGCATTGAGCACAATAAAAATTTTGTGGAAGACTTTTATTTTGCATGTATCTTAGCATAGGTTCATAGTATAATTTTGATTTCTAATGATTTCGTTTGATAATCGATTGAATATTAAAACTTCAGATATTGAGTTTTGTCGTTCTATTAAATAAAATACAAACTTTTCTCATATATACTAACTGATAGAAATGAATAAAAGGAGATAATTTCAATACAATTGTACAATAAATTTCCCTAAGCAAAAAAGTTTTTTTTCCAAATAAAACTCACAAAAGAATTATCCGAAAAAATTCATCGTCTGAAAATCAAAATTTAGAAGCAATTGTCGTTTTTCTACAAACATTATATGAGCGTTATATCATCATCTTAATCAATCGAGAAGAGATACATGCTGAAGGTAAAACATAAAAATAAAAAACACATCCTTCTGATACAAACCAAAGAATAATTTGGCAGAACGAAAGAAAAAGGGATACTACCCATTTTATTCACTACGCATTTTTATACATAAATACTTCACTATGTGCAGAATGAAGATGAATTAGCAGTTGTGGCCAACATATTTCTTTCCAGTGCGTTCGAATACTTGCTGTACACATTTCCGAGCCTAATTTCTTGCCTTTAAAGCCTTCTTATCATTCATTTTCAATACAACATTCTTGATTTTCTATGTATATGAAAACCTGATGTTGATTTTGTTTCTTATTATTTGACGATGTAAGTAGATATAGAACTGAAATCGATTTTCTCTGATGATACAAATCTTGAGAAATACAAAACTGTGTTAAGTTCGTGGTCTCCACTGTCAGAATATATATATATATGACTTTTCGAAATAAGGTCAAATTTAGCAGACTTTTGTGAGAAATTTTTGTGGGATTTTTTTTCACATTTGTAGTTTTAAGAAGGTTACCTCGTTGCTAGTATCAATATTAAATAAACATTCTTTTCGAAGAAAAACTGCACAGAGTTATTGACTTTAATTTGAAATTATTCCGAGCTCTGCACTTTTTATAACGACGAATTTATAAAGTTTCTTCTTAAAGTGACTCTTAAATTAATTAAAATTATCTACTTTCCCTTCGGTTCTTTTTCTAACTCATAATCATAGTGATGGAACAAGAGACAAAATAAGTCTAATTTTTACCAAAGAAAGTTTCCAAAAATTTTCTCTTAATTTGTCATATATCATAGACTGTTTACACAGAAAAAAAGAAGTTACTAGACAATATACGACAGTCATATACTGTTCTCGTAATAATATAGAATAGAATATGTTATAAGATCTTCAAAGTAAAGTTTTCATTGAAATAGAAGAATTTATCGATCAACTATGTAATTGTCTTAAAATTTCACCTGCCGTATATTTGCAATTATATGCATATGTTTTTTTTTCTTATTTAGAGACTTTCCTAAATTATGTTTCTTAGTGATATATGAGATTATGCAACGAAATCTAGCATATCTAGAACTGTATCAAAGACAAATTCTGAAATAGTTAGGACCGATCTATAATATCATATAGAAAATTGTCTTCGCAGAACATTGAAGAATATATGTTAAGTAAGTCTTTTTTTGTGACCAACGAAGAAAAACAAATAAAAACTATCAAAAATATGATGATAATTTAATAAAATAACGGATGACCAATGATAAATGACTGCACTTTGTAATTCATATTTTAATCTCTAAATACGTTTTTATTTAACTAAAACAGAATATACCACAAGATACATCGTGAAAGAGTTTTACAATCTATTAAAATATTTTGATGCTGTAGAGTGACAAAAATGAGACAAACAAGTAGATGTAAATGAAAAAACTAAATATTCAAAAAGAATTATGATATAGTGAGGTGCATCTAAAAATAGTTTTACGTCTCTCATTAAATTAAAATCTATTACAACATAATCACATGAAAATTATATTGAAGTTATTTTTTCATAAACACAATCTGAAAACGACATGGTTTCTAGACGACGATTTATATAGACAATCACAGATAGTCACAACATAGTCCTGATCTTGATGATCTAATAAAACATATGCAATACAATAAAGTTAAAAGTTACGATTCATTAATTGATGAAATAAGAAAAAAAAAGGAATTGATCATTTACCAAAGAAACGGTCATGTTTGTAGAGCTAAAAATTTGTCGTGCAGAACTTCTCTCCTTATTTTGAACGTACAAAGTACACAATTAAAAAAGAAACTTCACTTTGTAGATTTTCAAGCTTTTCATAAATGCATCTGATGATAAGAGGCCTCGAAGAAGTTCTGCAGAGATTTTAAAATCAATTATTCTTACATTCAATAAAAAGCAAATCTTTTAGAAACTTTAATAAGCTAATTGATAACTAGATTTGAGTTTTTTTTCTACTGTAACAACAGACTTCAAAAAAAAGAAAAGATCTTGCCATGACAGAGTCTCTTGTCTGAACAATAGATAAAAATTGAAGCATTTTGTTGAGAATGAGAAAATTTCTAGGCATGCGAACTTTTCAAACCTCGCATCAACACAGTTTGATCAAATGAAACGAAAATTTCATTGTATAAGAGATGTTCCTTATTTTAATAAAACATATTTAGAGATTAAAATATGAGTTACAGAAATGCAGCCATTTATTATAGATCATCGGTTAATATTGGTATTTTTATGGTTCTATTTCAGAGTGTCAATAGTAGAGCACATGAAGATATGCTTGGACTTTATCAAAGTCATTATCATAGTTATTAATCTTTATGTCGTATCTGCAATGGTGCTTGTCATTATCTCAATCAACATTGGGTTCGACGCGAATACGATAGAGGTAGAAGATATGTGTATGAAATTGGTTCAATATGTTACATTTAGTCTTTATTTTTTTTACAAAATTCTTTGATATTTAGCTTGCTAAACAAATTTGGAGAGAAACTTTTTTCAAGCCACTATTTCCACAGACAATACAAATATATTTAGATTTAATCAAAGAATATCGTAATAATCAATCGTCTATGAATACTCAATTAATTAAAAATATTATTGAATCAGTTTGTATGTCAATATTGATTTTTCTTTGTTTAACTGAAAATTTTCTTCTAGTGAATCATAATTTAATAGATTAAGATTCCGAAAGTGAATCAATTACTGATATATATATATAAACAATATTTTGAAATTGAATTTCTTCAAGATATAGAAGATTTTTATCATCAACAAAATATCTCATCTCTTGAATCTAAGTCAATTATTGAATATCTCACTCAAGTGAATATCTCTTTTTTTTAATCATCAAATTTGACATAAGAATTTAATTCTTTTTTTATTGATTATAGATATCAAAATAACTATAAAACTGGTATAGATACTATTGAAAGTATTAGTACAATTGCAATTGATGTAATTAAAAGTTTTTCAAATATTCTTTCGATGCTGATCCAAGTTTTAATCTTGCCTTAGATAAAGTCTATGCTTTTATATCTGAATTTCTATCTATGATTGAAATAATCTAGGTTTTTAATAAGTTTATAAATAATAATGCAGTAACATAAAGAACTGGAACAATAACAAAATCAGCTGAATTATTAGCTCGATATTGTGATACACTTTTGAAAAAAGGGTTTGTTTTACATTGACTCAAACCTATTAAAATTTATGATTTAATTTTTTTAGAAATAAAGCTGTTAAAGAGACTGATCTTGAAGAAAAATTCGATTACATAATCGTACTACTGTTGATTTCCAAATATAATATGCTCCACTTTTTTTAAAAGGAAGATCATAGAGATCAGCGATTTCCACTATATACGAGAGAAGACTTTGAATCATAGAAATTGGCATGGTTAGTAATTGATCAACAAGGTGAATTCTTAGTGAGGATTTTCGAAAAAAACATTCTGAATATATTCCCTTTTGATTTAAACTTGTAATATAACTAATCAATTGAAAAAATTCTTCTCTTTCAATCTACACAAAGTCGACAGGAAATCAGCTTCCATGTAACCAAAGAGTTGATATTTTGGAAATATTGCGACCGTAGCGTCA